GATAAGTCAGGAGCTGGGTCATTTATATGAATGGTCAGGCTTGAACTGGCCCTTGTTTGCCCGTCTGTCCGCTTTGACTTGAATGTGTAGGCATCCATCTGGTTGGCTGGGTGGCTGGATGGTTTTCCGCATGGCTGTGTAGCAATGCCCATGTGTCTCCCGTTGTTTTGGTCCGTTTGTATGTTGACTGACTTCCTGTCTGTCCATTCATCTGTGTCTTCTTCATTCTCCTCTATTGCCTGACTTGTGTGAGGTGTGTTTTAGTCGGTGTGTGTCTGTCCGAGGGACTGACTAACTGACCTCGCTTAAAGGTCGCCTAAACTGTGATATTGTTTCAAGTGACTTTGAGGTGGCATGAGGCGAAAGAACATTCATGTCAGTCCTCCGGCTTCCTGTCGGCCCGAAGGAAAGACGTTAAAGTGGTCGGATCGCGTTGACAGCCCTCAAGACTATTTTTCATTCAACCCAGATTCAAGCAGAAGCAAAGTCTGAAGTTTCGATGTGATCCCCTTTCACAACATACATTCCCCTATTTGACCTGACTTGCAGCCAAGTGATATGAGTGTCTTTATGAAGGGGGTCTGAGTCCGAAACTCATCGCTAGTGCTCACTCGGCAGCCACTGAACGTAAAGAAATACGATTAATTGTAAGCCGCTCCCTTACCGATCCGAAAGTTGGTGATTAGAAGTAACCCTGCTCAACATGAAATTAGGACATGCAAATTCCGACGAGTCTGCTCGCGGTAATCGGATTTACTTTCAAGCCGGCCGAAAGCGAACCCACAACTATACACATACTCATATACACACGTGCCCACACATACAAACCAACATATGCTCATAAATATACTATATGGAAATGGATGAATTATGCCAAAAAACAGCCACTTGCTCCTGCTCATAATACAGAAACAATGACATCATCTAAAATTAAATTAGGAAATTTTCATGTCCCCATGAGCTTCGACCATATGCCACGTATGCCTGACATGCCACATTAGTCATGTAGACTGAATTTGTGTGTGTGTGTGTGTGCCACGTGTCTAGCCTGACAATCGTCGACATTGTGATTAACTCGACTGTTACACAATCTGAGGTTCGCTTTCACTGATCACTTTGATAAGCCAATGACTGGTAACAGAATAACACACCAATTAATGATCGACTATGACCGCAAACTATGTTGGGGGTGGAAGGTTTGATGTGAAGAGTATAATAGAGCTCGAGCTCCGTTGAAGACAGACCTCTCACTTCGAGCACACAGTCGGTCCGTGGGTCAGGGTTTCGGACTGTTGCAATAAACTCGAATCCACGTGGCATATGGTGACCGAGACCTGTGGGACGTCGGGCTGAGGGGTAGCGGTAGGGATAGGGGGGAAATGAAGACAATATAAAGTGAGACAAGTGAACCGTATTCGGCCATTTTAGACCAAAGGTACCGAACCACCGCTGTTCATAGTAGGCCTGGTTGAGAAACAACTCATTTAGGTCTTTCAGGCCTCTAACAGGTACGTGTGCGTGTGTATGTGTGGTGTGTTGGCAAGGGTATGCATGCCTGGGTGCGCGTTGACTGACTATCATCCACATCTACCAGCATTTGTCCCGGACTGCATAGAGGAGACTCAGTGGATTGCAGTGCCAGATGACGGGGTCATACAGATGGGAAATATGCAAACATGCAAGTGAGGAAATCATCATCCCTCACTGAGGGGATCAAAAGGCATGCCCGGAAAGAAATGAGTAAAGAGACGAAAAACACTAAGCTGAAACGGAAACATCTATCCTCCCTGTCATTTTCAGTTCTCATATATTATGAGAACATATCTTGAGGAAAAATCTTTTCACCAAATCTAGATGCATTGCCAAAATGAAAATGAGTAAATTTTTTATTTCTCGAGTTTCTTTGACAAAATTCAATGAGATGTAGTTTTGGATGGGAGATGCATGCCGAACGGAGTGGACAATCGTTGCTA